CTCTGTCTCACTCTCTCTTTCTGTCTGTCTCTCTCTGTCTCACTCTCTCTTTCTGTCTGTCTCTCTCTGTCTCACTCTCTCTTTCTGTCTGTCTGTCTGTCTCTGTCTCACTCTCTCTTTCTGCCTGTCTCATTCTGTCTGTCTCTGTCTCTATCTCCCTCTCACCTGTCTGCCTCAGTCTCTCTTTCGGTCTGTATCTGTCTCATTCTCACTCATTGTGTCTGTCTTGTCCTAATGGAGGGTCGCGACCTGAAACGTCAGCTTTCCTGTTCCTCTGGTGCTGCCTGACCTGCTATGTTCCTCCAGCTCCATATTGTATTCTTTTTCGTCTCCATTTCACTCTGTGTTTCTCCCTATCTTTCTTTCTCTCTCTCTCTGCCGCATGGTCTCTCTCAGTGTCCATGTCACTCTTTGTTTCATTTTTTGATGTCTCTTTACTCTCAGCATTCTTTTCTCTGTCTCTCTCTCCTTTTGCTCTCTTTCTCTCTCTGTGTCGGAGCCATTTCTCTTTCTCTGTGTCAATAGTCCGTGACTGAGTTACTGAAACAGCCTGCTTCCTCTGCAAGATGTGAGGAGATCTCAAGGTCAGCCAATGTCATACCCGATCTCTGCAGCATTTCTGCAGCAGCTCATGTCCAGTTAAACCAATCACATTCTATGCTCCGTACAGTCAAAAAGGACTTGAGCAAATCGAATCCCTGCAGAATGTCACCTTCACTATCTCTCACCTTGAGATTTAAATTATCGTTCACCAAACTGCAGAAACACAAACGTTTCCTTAACGTTTATAAAATTCTGTAAGAGTATAGCATAAGGGTAAAATTATCACACGTTCCCCACTTCGGATCACTTCCCAGTGAGTCCTGACGGAAAATGCGTATTTTTGAGTGTGTTGTGTCTGTCTGAGTACATTTCTCAGTGTGTCTCAGTGAGTGTGTGTCTGTTTGTGAGGGATGCGTCTCTCAGAGTCTGTGTATGTGTGTGTCCCTCAGTATGTATCAGTGTGTGTTTCTCTTGGTATATGTGTGTGTATGTGTCTCTGTATGTGTGTGTATGTGTATGTGTGTGCATATGTGTATATCTGTCTAAGTCTGTGTGTGTGTGTTTGCCTGTAAGTTTGTGTGTGTATGTGTCTCTCTGTAAGTCTCTGTGCACGTACATGTTTGTAAATGTATGTTGTCTCTCTCTCTGTAAGTCTGTGTGTCTCTGTAAGTCTGTGTGTGTACATGTCTTCCTCTGTAAGTGCGTGTGTGTGCATCTCAGTGTGTGTGTGTGCGCGTGCACGCCTCTCTTGTGTACCTTGGTCTGTGTCTGTTAGGATGATGTGAAACTTCAGTTATATTTGGAGGCTCTGGAAAAGCTGACGTTGTTCTTTAATTCAGGGAAAGTAATTCATTTTGCTAAGAACAGAACCCAATTAAAACTAAATGCTGTGCAATGTAGTGATGCAGATCAGAGAGGGCTGTATGCCTTTGTGTATAAATCAGTGAAAGTGGCAGGTCAGGCAGAGAGAGCAGTTTATAAAGCACACAGTGCCCTTGGTTTTGTTGATATGGGATAGAGGATAAGACAGTGAGTTCTGGTGAACCTGTATAAAACTGGTTTGGCCTCAGCTGGATATAGTGCTTTACAGCACAGAGAGAGAACCATGCAGGTTATTATACACCTGTCTCCTGTAGACCCATTTCCCAGCTTTCGTCACATGCTGTTGTATTTTATAATATTTAAAACTTCATCAAAACATTTCCTTCCTCTCCTGCCCCTTTCAGGCAGTGAGTTCCAGACCCCAACCATCTTCTGCGTAAAAGCATCCTTCCTTCAATCCCCTTGTAACCTCCTGCTCCTTATGTTAAACCTGTGCCTCCTGGTTATTCACCCCACTACTAGGGGAAAGAGTTTCTCCTTAACTATCCTGTCTGTGCTCCTCAGATTTTTGTACACCTCAGTCAGATCACCGTCAGCCTTCACTGCTCTAAGGAAAACAGCCCCAGTCCCTCGTCATCACTGAATGTCTCCAGCCCAGGCAACATCCTGTTGAATCCTTGCCTCTCCAAAGTCGAGATTAATGTCAGAGCTCCTGCAGTCTCCTCCCTTGCCTCGCACTGAAGTCTGGGATATGTCTTATCTCAGCCTGGGGATGATCCACTTTAAGCCGTTAAAATCACTGATACCTCCTCCCTCTCAATGTTAATTTGTTCAAGAACATCACAGTCCCTTCTCCCTAATTTCTGGACCCACACATTGCCTGTGATTTGTTACAACTCACTGGGGAGGCGGTATGGCTCAGTGGAAATAAAGTCCTCCACACACACACACAGACACACACACAGACACACACACACAGACAGACAGACAGACACACACAGAGACACACACACAGACACACACACACAGACAGACAGACACACACAGACAGACAGACACACACACACACAGACACACATTCTCTCTCACACACACACAGACAGACAGACACACACACACAGACACACACACAGACAGACAGACAGACACACAGACACACATTCTCTCTCTCACTCACAGACACACACACACAGACACACATTCTCTCTCTCACACACACACACACAGACACACATTCTCTCTCTCACACACACACACAGACAGACAGACAGACACACACACACACACACACACACAGACAGACAGACAGACAGACACACACACACACACAGACACACATTCTCTCTCTCACTCACACACACAGACACAGACACACACACACAGACACACATTCTCTCTCTCACTCACACACATTCTCTCACTCACACACACAGACACACACACACACAGACACACATTCTCTCTCTCACACACACACAGACACACATTCTCTCTCTCACACACACACACAGACACACATTCTCTCTCTCACTCACACACACACAGACATACACACACAGACACACATTCTCTCTCTCACTCACACATTCTCTCTCTCACTCACACACACAGACACACATTCTCTCTCTCATACACATACAGACACACATTCTGTCTCTTACTCACACACACAGACACACACACGGACACACACATTCTCTCTCTCACTCAGACACACACACACACAGACACAGAATCTCTCTCACACACACACAGACACACACA